GCAACCGCCCGTGGGAGCCGCGGCCACCCGCCCTCCCCTCTGCGGGGAGGGGCGAGGCTTCCGGGTGGCCTCGGAGGTGTCAGGGGGTAATGATGTTGTTTGTTGTTATTTCTAATGGGCTCGGGCCCCGAATTGTCTTCCAGCAGCTGTACCCTTCGAGAGCTGTCTGGGGACGCTGGGGCTCTCCCGAACGATCCTCTCTGGGCCCGACATGCGGCCAAACAAATCAGACCTCGGCGTCAAAGGAAAAGAGAACGGCAGGATGCTCTAAGTTTGGACTTGCTGAGACTTGTTGAGGCTCGTGTAAGGCCGCCTGGGCCCGCAGAAGGCAGCTTGCAGCGCGAAGCCAGCGCGAGAGATGGGGTCAAGGGTTGAGGAGCCCTGAGAGCGTGTCGGGAAAAGCAGGACGTCGACGGTATAGTCGGGGCGTTCGTTCTGGAATGAGCCCTGGAGGCGTCAGACCCTGGAGGATTCCGTATCTAATCATGGCGGCGGTGATACGGATGGCCAAGTTTCAATTGACGTTCCACCGGCTTTCAGACCATAGATGTTTTACTCGAGGGCTCCTTTTCCCAATTCCTTCACCTTATGGATCTCCCTCTTCTCGCCCCCCGAGCAGGAGGAGCAGGAGCAGGAGCAGGAGGGGAGGAGAGTGAGTGAAGGGGCCGTCTTTCTCACTCGCCATCCCTTCCTGCCCTCTTAGCCCCCTTCCCTGGGCGCCCCAGAAGCATGGCATGGTCCCCTCACTCACTCCCTCTGAACCCAATATGAGGCTAGGCGGCGAACCTGCCTCAGCTTCGCAGGGGAAGGCCCGTAGCCGCTGTGCAGCCCTCTCCAGAGGCTAGCCGTTTCCTCCGTGATGTCGTCGCCGTCTCGTTTGTCGTGTCGTCTCTCTTGCGAGACCTTTCCCCAACGCGCGGGCCTCGCCACATGTTGATGCCCTCCTCATCCCTCCCCTCTCCCCCACCTCCGCCCACGGCCTGGGCGGGTAAAGGGTCGGATCAGAAGAAGAATAAGAGTTCTTGACGTGTCGCAAATCCCAGCCAGCCCATGCAGAGGCAATGCCCAGGCGAGTTCCCATGAGAACGGGAAACAGGCATGCATGCAAGGTATTTATGGTGGAACAAAGCGCAGACAATTGGTGAACACATCGTGGAGCCATATTGGAGTTCTCTTGGGTCCTTTTTGATAACAGTTCTGGTCCTCTTCGGTCGCTCTTGAAATATCATTTCACTTTGAAGTATGAAGGTTCGGTGTCCAGTTCCAGATTTGTTTGACCTCGAATTGCGAAGACCGATGTTTCGAAGATCATGCTTCCGCCGATGTTCCGGAAAAGTCCGCAATCCATCGGCCTTCCAAAGTTTATTCGCCCGTCTTCCACAGCGGATTCGTAGTTGTTTTGGTTCATAGATGTTGTACGGAATCAAAGGTTGCTAAGTTGTCGACTAAGTGTCTCTTGATCGCTAGACCTGTGCATATTGGTGGCTGTTGGGGCCCTGTTGGGGCTATCTTGTAGGCCATTGAAGGACAATTGATGCTCTCAAATGATGTCGGCATCTTCGGGATCTCCTTGGGACGCTCCGTGGTTGGCGTCGTGGCATATTTCAGGCATGATGGAGGTCATGGTGAGCCAGCTTGGGCTAACTTGAGACATCGTTGACGCCATCTTGTTCTGGCTGGGGCCCTCTTGGAGCCGTCTTGGACGCTCTGACCGCTCACGGGGCGCCCCGTCCAGACCCAGGGAGGGGGTTGGGGTAGAACCCTCCCCGAATGGGAAGAAAGCAGCTAGACGTTAAAACTCCAATACTCGACGCGAAGATCCACAGATGTGCAAGTCATTTTCTGACACCTCCCGCTGTAAGCGTCTGGTTGCGAGCGTCTCAGTGTGAACAGCGGATCCGAGTGGACGACGGGCGCGACAGCGACGACGACGACGGCGGCGGCATCTAGGAGGGGCAGCGACGACGGCGACAACAACTCGCGAACGGGCGGCCAGTCCCACTGGCGGAGCTGACTGCTGCCGAGCACTTGCGACTGCTACGCAGGCTGACACAAAAGGAACCGTCCGCACTTAGCATCGGGCCGCGCGGGGCGCGGCGCGGCGCGCATGCTGGGGGAGTGTGCCAGGGGGCCGAGAAAAAGAAGCCGTCCGCCCTTGGCTTCGGTCTGATAGTTCAGAGCCGCACGCGAGCAAAGGAGGCCACTGGCACTGAAACAGAATTCCGGGCTGCTCTCCCGAGCGAGCTCCAAAAAGTCCGTCTGCATGTGGCATCGGGCCACGGCAGGCGCGGGCCGCCGCTCTGGTGGCAGCATGATCCCGAAGCGCATGGCAATTACAACTGCCGCTGGGACCGTCGCCTTCTCCCTGTGCTCGAAGCGGCGGAGGGCCGCCTTTACCGCCTTCGACTGACCCCTCTCCAGGAGCTCGTCGCACCAGCAGCATGTCGGCCATCCGGGTGGGGCGGGCACCATGCGTCGTCGTCAGTGCCGCGTTGGCCCTCGGGTTCTGGGCGGGCGCAGTTGATGGTCACCACGGCACGTAGGGTCTGCCCCTGCGTGCGAGAGCATAAAGCCGAAGCGGGTCACGCTGTGCGCCACGGAGGAGGGTTTCCACGTGAAGGTTGTCTCCATCAGGGGCATGCAGAAGAAGCCGCGGGCAATTTCGACCTTGTCGGCCGCCGTTGCTTCCTGGAGTCCGACGTGTGGCGCGAGGCTCTCCCAGGCGGGGGCCTGCTTGAAGTCGTCCACCTCTAACCTCAAAGGCCCGTCGGCGCATGCTGCGGCCTGAGGATTTCGCCCTGCCTCGTGTTGTCGTAGCCCTGCTGTTCGTCCTCGTCAAGAATGAGATCGACGATCGTAGCCTGTTGCTCACGGACGAGGCCGTACGTTCCATTGAATTAGCCCGTGAAGCGAACGCTGAGTGTGAGCGAGTGAGCGTGAGTGCGAGCGAGTCTGAGTGTGAGTGAGTCTGAGTGGCAGTGAGTCTACGCATGAGTAGGTACGAGTATGAGTGAGTCTCAGTGCAAGTGAGTTTTAGTGTGAGCGAGCCTTAGCATGAATAGGTACGAGTATTAGTCAGTTTCAGTGTGTGCGTGAGTCGATCTACACGGTTGCCTTGAGCGCGATGACAACTTGATGAAGACGAGGGAAGAAAAGAAGAGGAGAGGTGATGCGAAGGAGGAGGAGGAGGAGGAGGAGGAGGAGGAGAGAAGGAGGAGGAGATGAGATGTGAGTAAGTCTGGGTATGATTACGAAACAATCTGCATATATGATAACCAGGGGTGGGTGAGCGTGAATAGAAGGCGCAAGGCCTGCCTCAAAACCTTCCCGCATGTCTGGCCGCGAACGGGCTGGTGAGATTCGCCCTGGCGGCTCCCCTTTGGGATGCCCTAGTGCTACGCGCGTTATGCCGCGGTGAGCATTGCATTAGACCACCAACGAAGAAACGTCTGAGGCGTCGCAACGAGCAAACCGCCTAAGACCCCACAGTCTGGCCGCAGCCGGGGGAGTGAGGTACCCCCTGGCGGTTCCACCCAATTCTACGCCTGCTATATCGCGGCGGGCATTGGACCGCCAACCAAGGGAAATCTGGTGTGCGCAGACCAGGCAACCGCTTGAGATATCCCCAAAGTCTGGCCGCAACAGGGGAACTGAGATACCCCCTGGCGGCTCCTACCTGGTGTGTCCCAATGCCACGCCTGCGATGCCGCTGTGAGCATTGGACCACACATGGAGAAGTCCGAGGCGTCGGATCGAGCAAACCGCTTAAGATATCCCCACCATCTGGCCGCGAACGGGGGAGTGAGATATCTCTTGGCGGCTCCCTCTTGGGGTGCCCCGATGTCACGCCTGCATGAATCGCGGGGAGCATTGGACCCCAAAAGAAGGAAATCCAAGGCGCGGAGATCAGCAAACCGCTTGAGATATCCCCACCGTCAGGCCGCGAGCGGGGGAGTGAGATACCCCCTGGCGGCGCCCCCTTGGGGTGCCCCGATGTTCCGCCTTCTATGTCGCGGTGAGCATTGGACCACCAAAAGGGACATCTGAGGCGCGCAGATCAGCAAACCGCTTGAGATGTCCCCACCGTCTGGCCGCGAGCGGGGGAGTGAGATACCCCCAGGCGGCTCCCACTTGGGGCGCCCCAATGCAACGCCTGCTATATCGCGGTGAGCAGTGGACCACCAACAGAGAGAAATCTGAGGCGCGGAGACCAGCAAACCGCTTGAGATTCCTTACCGTCTGGCCGCGAACGTGGAAGTGAGATAGTCCTTGGCGGCTCCCTGTTGGAGTGCCCCGATGGTGCGCTTACTTTATCGCGGTGAGCATTGGACCACCAGCACAGAGAAGTCTGAGGCGCATAAATCAGCAAGCCGCTTGAGTAGGTATGAAAATGAGTAAGTCCTCTTGCGAGTGAGTCTGAATGAGAGTGAGTGTGTGCGTGAGTGGGTCTCAGTGTGAGTGCGTCGTAGTGTGAGTGAGCCAGAGTATGAGAGGGTCTTAGTGTGAGTGAGTCTGAGATTGAGTGAGTCTGAATGACAGGGAGCCTGTGCATGAATGGGTACCAGTATGAGTGAGTCTGAGTGCGAGTAAGTCTGAGCGTGAGCGAGCCTTAGCATGCGTACGTATGGATATGAGTGAGTTGTTGTGTGGGTGAGTCCAGGTAAGATTGCACTGAGTGCAATGACAGCGTGACGTAGAGGAAAGAAGAGAAGGAGATGAGGGGTGATGCGGAGGAGGAGGAGGAGGAGGAGGAGGAGAGGAGATATTACAAGTGAGTAAGTTTGATGATTCAGAATCCATTTTCGGACATGAGAACAGGAGGCGGGTGAGTGGGAAGAGGCGCCCCGGTAATAGCAAGAACCTCATCTTAGGCGACCAGAATAAAACGAGATACGCACGGAGGGTTTGCAGGATTATTCCCGGAAGCCACACCAGGAAGGTTCCTTCTCCTCATCCTCCTCATCATCATCGTCATCATCAGAATCATCAGCATCAGCATC